CGGGTCGCCATCTTGCGAAACTGACTGTGCCAATGTTGCCATTGACGGGCACTGGGTTTCACCTGACGGCACTGCCGGCTGAGTTGCTGGTGTAGGTTTCCCAATAGAACTCGACAGTTGCATGAATCCCTCTTGCATTCCTTTGCAAAGCATTTGCATGGACTGCTGTTGCATTGATTGAAATTGTGCAACCATTGTATTAAACAATGCTGCGTCAGAATTAGATGTTGTCTTTGGAATGCCTGTAGAGGGTGTGCCACGTTTAATGCTGGCTGATTTTTCAACCGAAGTTGCCATGTTTGATGCTTTAGCCATGGAGGTAGGTTGCCATTAGTTTGGCGTTTTCGGGGTTGCCCAGGGGCCTTGGCTTGTACCTGTTTAGTGGGAGCATGGCTGTCGGTGACTTTTGTAATTGCCGCTTTACGTTAACGGCCTTGTGCAGTTGCTAATTTTACGCCTTGCTCAGCATTCAAGTTTGTGTCCTTTTCGGCTACTGCTGGAAATGTTTTCTCCGCTGCATTTTCCGTAGTATTCTCAGCTAACTCAGTTGCTAAGTCGAACAGAATACGAATATTCTCGTCAGCCATGGTTAGGCGGTGTAATTGTTTCAATAAGAAATATGTGCATTGGTGCCTGGCACCGAATGACACGTCCGAAGGCTGTGAAGTCAGCGTACGCACTGAAGGCTGCGGTCAGCGCAATCTCACGTGGTCACGTAGTGACGTAATACATGGTGAGGTAGAATTGGATACAACTGATGTGCATGAGCTGATCTGAGTGGATATGGCCTGGCGGTAAGCAGTTCACTGCAATAAATCACAAAACTCTAATAGATAACTAGCCAAAACAAAGGGATTTACCTGACCCTTGAATGATACACATAACAATGTTCACTTACAAAGTTTCTTCCGAAATTATGACCAAATTTCCCTAAGATTTAAACGATTAAACACTTCAAAATGCCCAAAAATTAATCTTAATGTCTTCTTCAAAGTTTACAGTTAACGATTAATAACAATTGAAGCAGAAATCATACCGATTGTGTAGAGTCCGGGGAAGCTTAAATCTTAAGTTCTGAAATTACGTTGTCCAACTTTCACAACGATTGAATACATGTCGCGGCTTGACCTTTGACCTACGCGCAAGCCTGCACAAGTAAACAAAGGGCGCCCCCAATACAAATCACGATGAATGAAATTTGCTGTAACTGGTAAGTCAACGTTACACAACATTTTACTCCCCATTGAATGGGTCCAAGTAGAAACTATTACATGCAAAAAAAAATTTAACTTTTGAGAGACAGCAGATTAGAATTTCTCACTAGCCACTTTGATGTAGAAGCCAAGATAAACTTCTGATTTTTGTTTATAAAGGATGTTCCAAAATGTTAATTCCAAAGGTGTTCGTTGAATGATTAAACCTTTGTGTGTGTAAACAACAAAGTCGCTCTATTCTGCTCCAGTTAGCGCCAGCTGACCCTGCATTTGAGGCTCTCCCAATGCTTATCTGGATTGGGATCAACGATTGTAGACTCATTTCCAACCTAGGACAAGCTGTTGCATGCTAAAATGGAAAATAACAAGAAATGGAAAAAATCAACAATTTGTATCGTCAGAGTAATGTAACGTGTTTTACGGGTTTTAGCCCTCACATATATATAAGTGATTGTAAGGTGGCACCGTGCGAGTTATTGCATCGGTTCACATTTATTCATTTTTATTGAATGTAAACAATTCCACCCCATAATTTGTCTCATAAACAAAAAACATGCCCTCTCTCTCTTAATGGTTACACGGACCTGCAGCCAGCTATGCTAGTGCTATTGAATAAAAGTGGGTTTTCATTATCTTATAAGAACATAGGAATGGAGTGCAACATGTCAATTCCACAATCACTGATATAACTGTATACATTGTACATGTGTAAGTACTGTCAGCAGTGGTGGATCCAAGTTTTTTTTTAAGCCCTTGGCCTTGCAAGAATCTCCATAGCATTTAAGCCAAATCGTTAGGTCTTCAGGCTTCAAATTTTAGTTTTTGAAGGAAAGGCAGAGAAACAGCCTGTTTTGCTAGTCCAAGAATGTCCAATCTTCTGTGAGAATAGCCATTGTCTAATAAATAAAAAATATCAACTTAGGTTATGTTAAAAATGACAATGATGTTTTGAAATGACAATGATGTCTGGCAAAGTTTCTTACATGGATTTTTCTAAATCAATTCACCGCTCTGGCTATATTTCTACAATTGTTAAAAATACATCTGTTTTATTTGTAAACATGCATATTATAGAGCCTCCATTTATTCACATCTGCAACCCTGTAATTTTAAAATTGAAGATGGCACTTTTGTCATTCCAATTTTCTACTAGTCTATCCAAAACAACTGAGGGGAAAAATGTTGCAGCCTGATGTTAATTTTTATCTTCATATATCATCTCAGTGAAGGTCATTCATTGCAAAAATGATGATAAAATGACTGAGAAACATTTCCAATTTTGTTAGGAAATACTCATGATAGGCCCTACTTAGAAAATGTTCTTGACTCTCCATAGACTTTGTACACAGTAGCGAAAGTGGCGTCAGGTTGCAACATTGTTTCCCAACTGTGCAACCTAAGCTCATAACAAAACTACGAAACAATAATAATATTTCAGTATAGAATCTTGTTTGAGGAACCTCAAAAATTGGTCTAGTTTCTGAACTTCGGCCCACAGTGACCACACGCAATCGTCAGGTTCCTGAAATCTGCCGACATGCCGATATACATTCACGAAAACAGTGCATCGAGCAACCAAAAAAATGGTCAACAATATTGGTATATCCTACAATAGTATGGCAAGACATACTCATATATTTATGCTATATCAACTTTAGATTTATTACATGCCACCGCCACTAAAAAATTCGCAAGATTTACAGAAAAGGAAAACGTCTTTTACAAGAGGGGCGACGGCCGACCTATATACATGTACCTGCCTGCAATGTGACAAATAGCGCCTGCAGAATGCGTGCCACAGAGAGCCTTGGTGTCAGTGCGGAAGTGCGCAGACGGTGCTAATTCGAAATTCCTCTATTGAGTCTGTTCCTTAACACCATATCAAAGAATAAGTGCAGCATCAACACTGCATCCTAGGAGGACCAGGCAGGAGACCGAGCCTTATGGACGCAACTGGTGCACAGAGGCACTAACAGCTTTGAGACCAATCACCAAGCTCAGGCAGCCCCTAAGCAACAGTTGAGAAAGGAGAGGGAACGAGAAAAACAGCTTCATGGTCCAACCCTCCCTTTGACCTCAACTTGTGACATTTGCCTGAGACTGTGTGGCTCACAGATCGAACTTTTGAGTCATCGATGGAGTCACGTTAGGCATCTTCTAACTCAACCTTGACAACTTTGTTTTTCTTGTGGAGAACATCTTCCTCGACCTCGAGGAATCCCCTATATATACTTCTGCACTGGATTCAACTGCCTAAAGCTAGCTTCACGCTAGACCTGATTTCAAGTCTGAGAATGTGGTTATTTTGTCTGCATCAGCTGTACAAAGTTGGCTGCACAATATTTCCCGGAACTTCACTTGCCTCTATTTGCTATCACAACGTATCTGCAAGCTAAGCCACATTTTAGGCCAAAAAACCCCATGATCACAGACTTGAAACCTTGCAAGTCTAGCTTCACGTGTGCGCATTACGGTTGTGCATGATCGTACCTATTGATCTCCATGACATGTACACATAATGGAGAATAGTGAGCATATTTATGGGGAGCGAAGTTGCTGCACAGCTGCTCACAGCCTGAATCAATGAAGCTAGCTTGTGTGTGTGCATACATGTGCGTGCGGAAAAGCACATGCATTACCTTTCTCAAGCTTAAGGCTGGAATAATGTAGACTCCTCAGAAAATAGGAGACTTCCTGAATAGAAATACCTTCTGGAGTATCCACCTGAGTGGCCTGTCATCGTGCAATTGTAAGCTTGTCAGTTTCCATGCATTCTGTGTTCTTTGCAATTGTGACTTCAGCATCAGGCATGCAGGCAGGTACTTCATAGCCAAGCATATACAGCGCATCCCAAAATACCCGCAACATACATGTATTTTGTGAGGCTCTAGTGACCCACCAACCGACTGACCGACCACCAAGTGACATGTAGAAACTCCTGTCAGAGCATGGAATATCTAAAATATGGCTTCAGGAAGCCTAGGTAGCCCCTGACCTGAAATGCTCGGTGATGCTATTATTTTTTGGAATTTAATGTTGACGACTCTGCCAATATATTCACAACCTTTGGGATGTGCTGTGGTCCTTTTAACATAAATGTATTTCTGGCAGAATCCTTTAGAGGTTTTGTTGCAATAATACTGGCACCTTAAAATCACATGCAATTCACAGTCTGATATGCCAGTTTCAGACTTACGCATATTGCAATCCCAGTACACACACATTTTAAGCAATGTTTTGAAAGGAAAACTGAGTGACTGGATGACGTCTAATGCCTCGTTAAGTTCCATTTTTGAGGACCAAATTTTTCCCTCGAAATTCATTTGTGCAGTTATTACTTGGAAACTGTAAGTTGTTAAGGTATACTACGAGTAACATATATTTTACCTTTAAACTATCTTTGCAGATATTACCATCAGTAAGAGTCAGTATGCAATTCCAAATTACAACTTAAGTTTTCAGTATTCTTTAATGTATCGTCAGTTTATAAAGTTATACGGAGGTTCCTTACCTTGTTCCTACTCGAACTTGTGGTTATTTGAAAGAAAAAAAACCAACACAATTGTCATTTTTGTTTAAAGGTACAAATACAGAAAGGAACAGAGCATTTAACGAACACTAAACAAGTAGTACAATGGCAAACATTCTTTTTTGTGAGTCAGTTTCATGCAACATTTGGTATACCCTCTGACAGACAATGTAAGTAATTTTCAGATTGACAGTTGATTATTTCTTAGTATGTCATGTATTTGACTGATCAAATGACTGTTTTCTGGTTTATGACAGCTACAATGCCATCAAAGCCTACATGGGAGATGGGAGACAAGAACCTCTAGGACCAAGCTCTCATATGCTAGCAGCTGCACAGTCAGGTAAGTGTCTCCATGTCTATGATAGCTCTGCAAATAAAGAGTTAGACCCTGACAGGATTTTTCTGTGACCACAGAATTTTGCTTGGAGAGCTTAGTGTAAAAATGTACAGTTGAATCTCAGTCAACCTACCAAGTCACACGCATTCGGCGTGGGTCACATGCCTCGGACATAACTAACACACACACACACCGGACAATTGGAACTCACACGCCTAACGCTAGATTGTTCTACAAATTTATTTTTAGGTTGTTTTCGGGACAATAATACGGATCATTGTTTCCTGTTGGGGCTAAGCATTTTTGCGACTTCAGTTCTACTTGAAGATCATAATTATATCACCACGCAGCGTGGTGGAGACACCCTCATCCCCAGGGCCATTCAGTGACCTTGTTACAAAATTATGTTCAGTGCTGCGTTCCTGCAGTAAACTTACTGGTGTGTACAGTACAGGTGCATCAAGCGTGTGCGAACAAGAAGTTTTGCAATAATTCATGCTGACATTATTTACAAGCTGATTACCCAATCATAATCTGGTAGAGCGTATTTGTGTTGAGGTTGAAAATGTGGGGAGAAATGTACATGGGGGACTTATTTGAGAAGACATGCAGTTATTGAAAGCAAAAGATACAAAATAAGAAAGCAATAGCCTTATTATTAGGCTATTATATTAATATCAGTCATTCAAATTCAGTTCAATTCAAGGCTTTGCTGAGAAGTGTGAATATCTGGGAAGATTGGTGTTGGAAGAGTGACAGGTGTTAAAATGAAATCTCAAGAAATGAACTATATTTAAAGCAGCCTCCCCATTGAAACAAACTGGAACCACATGAAAATAATAATAATGGGCCACAGCAGCTATGCGGTAAATTTTTCCATTGGTCTGTGAAATTGGCATTTTTTTTAGGCAGTCGCATGAAAATGTAGTTGAAATATAACTGTAGTAGGTGCTACACAGGCAAAGGCTGACTGTACAGTTTTGACAATAAATGCAATAAAATGTGAAGGTTCAATTCACTGGGTATTGGCTAAGATGTGTAATTTGCTATTAAAAGGTTCAATGTTACCATAAAATAACAAATTCTGAATCATGGAGAAAAGCCATAATTAAGTTACAGTATTGGAGTCCTCAACAAATGTAAACTTGAATTGTTTGCAACTTAGTGAAACCTGCGAGGAAAAAGTTTATTCAAGTTTTATTTGAGTTGGTTCAGCCATAAAACAAGGCCAAACAGCTTTACTGACGTTCATAGTGGTTGTTGTCGGTTTCTTTCAACGGTTTGGTGAACACTATTTAACAACAGGCAAGTAGAACACGTGAACGGAACCCCTACGTTCAAGCCGCTGACCATGCACAGCCTTGACTTGAGGAAAAGCCAACACAGAGGACGGCCAGGCAATCAATGTGAAAGCGTACATGACGGCCATTCCTGTTGTAAGAAAATGTACGTGTAGTTACGAAAAATCGACGAAACAGATCGCCTGTCCGGACATGAAAATCAGGACGACCCGAAGTGTCCGAACCAGCGGAAGACACCCTCCACATTTTTCTACGGACGTGGAGCAATTTTGGCATTGCGGGAGCCAGCAGTCTCGGATCCGTTAGGGAGCAAACATTTCTCGGAAGCCGAGTAAAACTTCCTCTTATAGATGTCCTCTAACGTGGAGAGGCCCCTAACATGATGTACCTTGATTTTTTGCCTCTAGTGCCTTGCTGTAGAGCAAAATATTCACCTCAAATTTCACAGGCAAGTGAAATCTCATCAAGCTGTAAAGTTTACAGAAACTGTTTATTATTGCATTTTTCCAAAATCAGAAAGTCGCTGACACTTTTTTGTAGTTCAGTCACTTCATTTCAAGGATTCTTCTGTGAGAAAAAAATCCACCCTAAATACTTTGATTTTATAGAATAACAGGACAGAGTATTAAACATGAGTTACCTTGGAATTGCTCTTATTGTTTTCTCTGGTCATTTTCATAGGTATCCTGACATTGTTGATAACCAATCCATTATGGGTTACCAAGACACGTCTTTGCCTTCAGTATGAAGGTATAAGTAAAGATGTACGCTCAGCACAAAGTACCAAATACAACGGCATGTTGGATGCACTGTGGAAGATATGCAGACATGAAGGTGTTGGCGGACTGTACAAGGTAAATAAAAAATAAATAATTGCTCTTTTTCTTTCTTTTGTTTGTTTGTTTGTTTGTCGGGGTGTTTGATTGTTTGTTTGTTCTGGGTTTTTTTTTTGCTTTTTGCATTTTCCGTGTTTTTTTTATGTGGCATTTTTTCTGCATTCCAAGAATTTATTCAAAGGTGAATGGAATTTTTATTTTTTGTTTTTATAGGGTATTTGTACTGGATTTGTACTCACTTTGTATATGGGTCGTACAGTGTAAATGTGCTGTCAGTGCTCTTCAACAAATGTAATATTTTTTTTCCCCGCTTAAAAGCCTTTGTTGGCTGTTTCGGCAAACATGCCGAAACAGTCTTTGTTTTTGTTAAGTTTTTGTTTTGCTTTTCCACCTAAAAGCTGAAAAAGCCGCATTGTTTTTGTTCTAATTTTTGTTCTCTCTTTCTCCTGTTTTTACCGTTTGGTTCGACCCCAAATCCCATAAACTTTGTACACGTTTATTAACCGCGGCATTTTGAACCTAAAACCAACCTGTATTCTAATGAAACCTAACTAAAGACCCCATACTGAATTTGTGTCCCAAAGAGTGACGTCCTGATTACATAATCATGGGTCACGTGACGTCATCTTAAATGTGCAAACTTTAAGACCTTATATCTAAAGAACTGTAAGTCCGATTGGGTGGAAACGTGGTACATGTATGTACCGTCGGTAGACCGGGATGTGTTATAGGTAAAATTCAAAGTGACATCATTATGATGTATTACATTACAAGCAATTAAAGATTTCTAGATTTAACCTTTAAAAATCAATTTATATCAACCGTGAGCAGTGGCAGCGCTACGGTGGGGGGGGGGGGGGGAATTTTCTCCCCACCCCCAAGTTTTTTCCTTGCCCCCCAGTTTTACCCTTCAGTTTTCTCCCGTAGCGCTGCCACTGCTCACAGTTCAATTATGAAACAACATCAGAACAATTCAAAACCCGGGTCAAAACATATCTGTTCAATTTGTATAATTGTTGATTTCATGAGAGCGCATAGGGACCTCATGGTGATATGCGCTATATAAGAATGGTTTTTATTATTATTATTATTATTATTATTATTAACACTTTATCAACAAATAGATTACTTATGTTTATTTTCTACGCTGTTAAGATTCATAAAATATGGACACATTTTGGGCCAATGAAAGCATTATAAACATCAGTACTTTAAACAAAACACGCCATACATGCATTTATACAGCCGTAGACAGTGTGCAGCCAATGTTCGTACATTTGTTATACATTTGTTATACACCATTGTGCGGTTTAATACATTTCTCATTCATAAAAACGACTACACTTCTAAGTTGCTCTAGTGACTTATTTCTGTACCATTGACAATGGGCCTTGCGCGTGCATACACAGGCTTAAGGTTTTATTTTGTCTGCCCCCCAAAAAATATTTCTTTGCCCCCAATTGTCCCCTCCCCCCAAAGAAAAAAAAACCTTTAGAGTCTAGCGCTGCCACTGACCATGAGAGACCTGAACTTGACGTTTGTGGGAATTGATAGAATAATCCAGGATCTTCATTTTATCTCGTGCATGCAAAATCACGTGACCCTTCCTTCCGGTCTAAACGGATAGTGCCTTATAATTTGAAAGTGGAAAAAACATGTGAACTATTAAAGATGAGACTTTTTTTGATACACAAGGGTCGGTTGGATCGTCATAAAACTTGGTGGGAGTATGATAATGTTATTAGTATTCAAAATCCGAAGTGACATCATAATGATGTCATAGGTCGATTTCTTTACGATTTTTAATGCTTTTTCAAATATATTTCTTAAATATATGCAGCGGGCATGATTAGTCAATGTGCACATGCCGACACAATTGATTTGTACCAGTTACACTTTATTTATGTTTTGCTTTAACAGAGATGAAACTTCCGATTTAAATCGGAAAATTTCTGATTTTTAACAATTTTTCCACAATATGTGATTTTATTTAAATTATAATTTTGAAGAAAAGTCAATAAAAAAGTCGATCCAAAGGGCACGTAAAAATCATCGCGAGCGTAGTTTTAATCTCTTTCACCAGTCGTTAATGGAGTGTTTCTACCGTGGAAACACCTAGGCCAACTCTGACTGGGGTCTTTTCCGGCTGGATAAAAGGTTAAACATTGACCTGTGACTTGGAAACATCACCGTGTCACACAGACAGTGTGTGGTGCGTGCGTCACAGCTAGCATATGCAATGGTACCACATTACCGCACCGCCGGTTAGCACATGGCTGACCGGGTGCGAGTAGCCACAATAGATAAAATCCAACTTGTGTGATTTTCGGAGGTTTTAGATTTAGTTGTACAAAATGCAATGCTTTAAAAATGATGATAGTTATCTTGAGGATGGCGAAGAGAGCATAAGTGATACATTTCATTGGCAGTTGTTGGAAGAAAAGACGATAATGCCTGATTTTTCCCACGCACATTAGTGGATTTTCGTTGAATCATGGAGGAAGAAGCGTGGACATGATTGAATGGTGTCATGAATGGTGTCCTTGTCTTTTGGACTTTTTCCTCAACTTTCTCAAGTAAGAAATGAACTTCTTTGAAGATGTCGTTGCTTTAACTGTAATTTAAGCTTTTTGAAAACACTGCAGATTTTTCTCATTATGAAATTTATAGGAGGCGGTGTCCGGAAATTTGGCATGAAGTGTATTGTACATTTATATGTGTACATGTACATCAGGCAGGCAACTTTTCCTTGGATCCGCTGATTTCCTCGTTTTTTACTTCCCATGAATGCCATTACAAATTGAAAAACACTGTACAAAGTCTTGAGTGGTTTGGGAGTGGACTTGGGGAGACTTGACTTGACAAGACTTGACTTGACTTGACTTGACTTGACTTGTAGACTTGTCTTGGAGACTTGATGTGGGACTTGACTTGACTCGACTTGACTTGACTTGACTAGACTTGACTTGACTAGTAGGAAGTAGTATACTGGAGAGGGATTTGTTGACTTGATGCTGAAGGGAAGTTGAATTTTTTTTATTTATCATTTTATTTTACCAGGGTAGCCCCATCAGTTATCTAAGAACTGTTTTCCCTGGGGGCTCTGGTACTCTCAATGTCCATGGTTCTCTCAATGCTTAAACAATGAGAATGAAGATCACTTGACAAAAGGGGTCCAAAAGGATATATCTACCCCTTTTTAAGCTGCCAGTTGACGAATACACGTGGCTATGCCAAAGCTCTCAACTGTCCAGTTACAAAGTACTCCATAGACTTTCTGTGTTTTTTGTGCCTAGAGCAGGACAGAGGATGAATGTATGAGTATGGCAGGTTCAATATGAGGAAACAAAGACAGTTAAACAGAGGAGCTGGGTGCTACCAGCAACCTGTCTCTGTTGCAGTTCAGTGGTCAAAGCAATATAAACATTAACTTCATAAAATAATAAGTAAATAGATCTTTAAATAATCAAAAGTGAAAGTCCCTTTAAAGAATAGACTGTGTGTAACGTCATTGTCACCAGTGCTGGTCAATGCCCACCGCTGTTTCAGGGCGACATTAGGTTTGTGCGCATGTCCGTGCTTTAGCTCGTATAAAACGCCCTCTTGAGACCAAATTGTATCCAGTCTCGTTTTGCCTAAAAACAGCTCACCGGAGGACGTCTTTTCAATCACCTTTTTATATTACAAATAAATTTTTGATATTCGAGATATAACAATAAATCGACAGAAAAAGGGCTTTACTTTTTTATTAGATAGAACTGGGAACTTTTTGGCAATACACTTGATGAGAAAACACCTCCGAAAAATTACCGTTGATTGCGATGTTAATAAATGTCTCAATCGGAACGAAAATAATGGTTGCATTTCGTGGGATTTTTCATCATCCTGGAAAGTTCATTCTGAATCAAGTAAATTACCATTGGAAAGACTAAATAATGGAGAATATCGCTGTGGAGGACTTTTTGAGAGCAAACCCTGATTGAGCCAAGTACATAGCTGTTAAATACATACACTAAATGTAAACAAACGGTGCCATTATGTGCACAAATCCACAAGTAGGCACTACGCGTATAACGTACCGTCCCTAGGCCCTGTGAAATGTATACATGCGGGGCATGCATGGGCACCCGGGCCAAACACGCGTCGGCGTGGTACGTTGTTTGAATTGTGAACCCCGGTACTGTGTTATATTGTGTAGTTGAGTGCAAAAACCACGCTCTGTGTTCAGTAGGCGAGTTTAGCAGGCAAGTTTAGGGGTTTGCTCTTTTGAAATCACCGTTAATACAAAATTTATGGCAGTCTTTATGCTAGCTGAACTTACTTGATTGCAGAAAAAAACCTTTTTGTTTACCCTTTTTTCGCTGGTTGCTGGCTTTCGTTCAGTGGAAAAGGCCTTCGTTTTTTTTGTATTTCGCAAAAATAACGACATCGCATTAAGCATATTCGATGTAGATACTAAAGATATATGCATGTATATTTCTCATAAACTTTATTTACCTTTCTGTAATAATTGACATAATTTCCAGTGCCTTGAGTACCTAATTGTTGGTAGATGCGTGCGCTATATAAGACTCCATTATTATTATTATTATTACATGTATATGTTTAACTTACTTTGGGACAGTTCTTATGGCTTCAATAAATATTTTGTGCATCATGAGCAGTTTTCTGGAAGGCCGTCCTCAGCGATTTGTTTTTTATGAACGAGCTTATGAATATTCATTTTACGGCACAGCCCAGAAAAACTGGCGCATGCGCTTAAACATAATGTCGTGCTGTGAGCCTCTGGAACACCGGTGTGCCCTCTACCACTAGTGTGCATACATAGGAGGTAGGTAGGTCTTACCTAGAAGTGAGTAAGGTACTCCAAGGACATTATACAAGGACCAATGCCTCAGGCATGACAAGGTTACACCTGTTGCATCATAACACTTAAAACAATTCAGTGAATAGGAATGACTAATAATAAGAAAGTAAAATTGATCAGGATGAAAAATACCAACATCCTGAATAATCAAATTAATTTAAAAAAAAGGAATTGAAGATTGAAAACTTGGATAAATAAAGGAACTAGCTACTGGAATAAACATAGCTTAGATAAAAGGCTATAATAGATATATCAAGTAAAACTTTTATTAAGGAAATTATTCCTCTTTTCACTTTAGTCAAAAGTAACTGGTAATGATTATAAGATGCTGATTGTCTTTTGGAATATGACAAAAAGTTATCTAGATAATATAATAATAATTTGGGAGGCTAATCATCCTTACTCGCCGCTGGTATGCTGAATTGCGAAGGACGCGGCTACAACGTGGTCAGACCGCTGGCACGTAAAGGTGCCTATGGCTGCCGGCCACATCGACCCATATATGACCACGGAGCACAGCCTGAGATCGAAAGTGTTTGATTTTTCTTCATGGATACATGAATACATGGATGATTTTAATAATAACCATGATTTTTGTACATGTAGTCCTACAAACTCTAATTCTACCTCGCTATCCCTAGCACCTCGTCCTTACGTGAGATTGCACCTGTCACCGGTATGTTTCTTCACAGTTGAGAGAACCCATTGTTAAACAAATGGTTTCCCCACTATATAACCACACCTGAGGCCCATAATCCTCAGTGCATTTTTTGTGACCGGTTGTTTCAGTTGCACGTAACACGTACACACGACTTTACCATGGACGACGAAAACGTCGACATCTTAGAACTTCTTGCAGTGCAGTCGGACAGTGATCCACCACCGCAAGCTACTCAACCAGACCCGGAGCCGACACCATCGGGCTCCAGGACTGCGGCGATGGCAACACCTAAACCTCTCGCCACACCCAAATCTCGTGGCAAGATAGGCAAGGAATGTTCCAATGCCGTCACACGAGAAGAATTTTCTGCACTTCAAAACCAGCTTCCAGCAATGGCTGACGCCCTGGATAACATCCAAACGGCTGTCCTCACTTCTCTCTCTGATCGTCCTGTAAAGAAACAAAAGGAAGAAGAAAGCAGCTCTTCCGGGTAAGTGAATTACTACAGCAAGGGGAAGGAGAAGACGCTACTGGAGAGGTCTTACAACCCTTCAAACAGCTGTACGCCAACCAGGATGCCGACACTGCCGTGGGCAAAAAACTGGCCTCAATTGTCGGCACAATGCTGCGACACAAGGCCGCCGACGAAAAGATTGGCATGAAACTTACGGACAACAAACGTCCTGCAAACATTCCACAATTAGAATGCACACGAGTAAACCCTGAAATATGGGCGTCACTCAAGTCCAAAACTCGATCAACGGATATCAAGTTCCAAAAGGTACAGCAGGCTCTTCTTAAGGCCACAGTGCCCATAGTCTCCTGCATCAAATCTCAAATGAGTACATGTACCAAAGATGCCGATGCCAAAGCAGGCATCACACAGCTACTAGACGCGGTAGCCATTATTGGCTACGCAAATTATGAGTTAAATCTCCGACTCAGAGAACTCATAAAACCAGACCTCAACCAACAATTTGGGAGCCTCTGCTCGGCACAAGTGCCAGTCACAAAGTTGCTTTTTGGGGAAAACTTGCCCCAACAGTGCAAATATATCCAAGAGACTAGCAAACTTGGCCACAAAGTCAGTTATCGTTTTGGCTCAGGGCACAACCCGGGGCAAAAGGACGTCAAATTTTGAGGGCGCAACGAGAGACGGCAACATTACCAGGGGAAAGGTTTAAACTACCAACGCCCCAACTGGCACAAGGGCAAATACCAGAAACAGAAGTCAGTTTCCACTCTGTCCAAGCGAGTGACATAAACCCAATGGTAAACGTTCACAAATGTGATATTGCTTTTAAAACGGCAGGTAGACTCGCACACTTTGTCGCCAAATGGCGAGAGCTCACTAATGATATCTGGATTCTCAACACGATCCAAATTTATCATATCTAATTCGAGAAATGGCCTTTTCAAACATGCATCCCTCGGGAAATTCAATATTCAGAATCTGAGGCAGCCATTATTTCACTCGAAATTGAGAAAATGCTCCAAAAGGGAGCCATTGTTGAGACATGCCACAGTGATGGCGATTTAATTTCCAACATTTTTCTCAGACCCACAAAGGACGGGTCATTCCGGCCCATAATTAATCTTAGAGGGCTGAATGCATTTGTACAATATACGCATTTCAATATGGAAACCATTCAACCAGCATTGCAGCTAATCCGTCCTAAATGCTTCATGGCATCAATTGACTTAAAGGGCGCATACTTTTCAGTGCCTACAGCCATAGAACTCAGAAAATTCCTGCGCTTTGTCTGGCGTACAACAGTGTACGAGTTTACATGCCTACCTTTCGGGCTCTCATGCCCTCCACGTGTATTTACCAAGGTAATGAAACCTTTAACTGCGTCTCATGGGGCACGAGTCTTGTGATTACATAGACGACTCGTTACTACTGGTAATTGGTACAAATTTGAAAGAATGCTTAGACAATGTTCAAGCAAGAATAATGCTCACTGAAGCACTTGGTTTCACAGTCAATACCGATAAATCTGTAACCACACCCTCCCATGAGATCACATTTCTCGGGTTTGTGTTGCATTCGGTTCACATGACAATTTCTATACTGCCTTCTAAGGCTAGCCATGTAATTGACATGATAACTAAAGTACTTGCAGCAAGCCGCCCACAAATCCGGGAGCTTGCGCAGGTGATTGGTCTTTTAGTTTCTTGTGAAATAGCAGTCCCATACGGCACTCTATTCAGAAGAGTCTTAGAAAATGATAAGAATGGAGCCCTAGCCAAAAATTGTGGCCATTTTGATTCCATAATGGCCTTGTCAAATCTTGCTAAGTCAGATTTAGCCTGGTGGAAAACCAACATACCACTTGCATTGGCTCGAATACATCGTCAGTTGCTCAGGTTCATGATTGAAACCGATGCCTCAAATGAGGGCTGGGGAGCTAACCTTAATGGACAAGCAATTGGGGGCGATGGTCCTGTGATGAGGCCAAACATCACATGAACTATTTGGAATTGAAGGCATGTTATCTTGCCCTTGAGGCATTTTTTCTCGAGTGAAAGAAACACTCACATTCATGTGAAATCCGATAACACTACGATAGTGGCATACATACAACATTTTGGTGGGTCACAATCCCAATCACTAACAAGATGTTGACTAGACAGATCTGGCAATGGTGCATTGACCGAGAAATTTGGCTCACTACCAGGCACAGAAAACACTGTGGCCGATTTTGCGTCCTGTCATTTTCATGACGACCTTGAGTGGAAACTTAATCCTGGCATTTTTAAAAGAATCACAGAAAAATTCTTTGTGCCCGATATTGACTTGTTTGCCCTGAGAAGGGTCGTTAGTAGACATGTTTGGAAAGTTCATATAATCAGTAGTGGCGTGCTGCACACGTCGGTTTGATGACATTAGTTAAAACAGGGTGGACCACGTGAAGGTTGTCATCTCCCACTCGGTGGCACTCTGAAATCAACTCCCCTACACTGGCTTCCCGTACTGTCCAATATCACTCCACCTGATATACGACGGAAGGCAAGAACCCTGCGGGAATTCCATCGCATTGAAGCTAACCCTGACCTACCAATCCACAAGGATCTAGAGAACCTGCCTGAACTGTGACTTAAATCACGCAATCCCTTTTGGATCTCTGCAGGCACATTCGATGAAGCATGTTTCGACTCTAAAGTGGCCTGGCGCAGTCTCTGGGAGAATGGAATACTGGTGTATCCACCACCGTACCCCCTGGTTTCAACCTAGACAGGTGAGAGTGGACCACTCTCAACAGGATCCGCACTCTACATGCCAGGTCTGCACACAATCTATATAAATGGAAGTTCCGGGACAACTCGGCATGTAATTGCGGCCATCCAGATCAGACCATCTCACACATTGTGAATGACTGCATGCTGACGAAGTTCCCAGTATAGGCTGCTGCAACAGTCATACGCAAGAAGAAGACTTGTTCGCCTCACGGCTTAACCATCAGGTATGCCAATACGCATCATGGCGCCCAGAACAAGGGGCTGCATATACTGATGCATTCACTCTGAACTGGGAACAGTTTCGGTTCTATGCATTTCCACCTTTTTGCCTAATTGGCAAAGTTCTCACTAAAATTGAATAGGAGAATGCCTGTGGGTTACTGATTGTCCCTTTATGGCACACGCAGTCTTGGTTTCCAAAAATGCTTAAACTTTTGGCTCAACCACCAGTTATATTGCCAATGCAATCTGATTTACTTTCTCTCCCTTGTTCAGATAGACTGCATCCCTTGCAGGATCATCTACGACTGGTAGCATGCCTATTGTCAGGGAAACACTCAGACAGCAGGGCATATCAGGAAGGGCTGCCGATGTCATCATCGCGTCCTGGCAAACTTCTACCCAGAGCTGCTACAGAACAGCACTGGGCACATGGCTTCACTTCTGTGCTCGCACAAAAACGAATCCAATTCGAGCAGATGTCACATCTGTAATTGCCTGCCTGAATGAACAATTTCATAATGGCTCACAATACAGCTAGCAGCCTGAACACTCTGAGAAGTGCGTTATCAGCTGTGGTGCTTCCCAAGAATGGAATCACCGTGGGATCTTACCCACTCGTCAAACGGTTTTTGACTGGCGCATTCAACTTGCGACCACCAAAGCCAAGATGTTCATCTACTTGGGATGTGATTGTGGTATTAAATTACCTTACAAGTTTAGGGCCAAATAATAGCCTAACCCTTAAGGACCTAACAGTGAAACTGGTCATGCTTTTATCCCTGATTTCAGGGCAGCATTGTCAAACACTGGCATTAATGAATTTAGATAATGCTTATACTACTGCCAAGGGTGTAACCTTTGTAATTTCTGAGTTGACTAAAATTAGTAAAGCAGGGAAAGCTCCTGTTAATGTTGTATTGGAGGCTTATCCTCATGACAACTTGCTTTGTGTAATGCGTGTTCTGAAAACTTACCTGCAAAAGACACGCCCACATAGGAAAGATAAGGGATATTTATTGCTCAGTTATGTTCGACCTCACAAAATTGTAGGGACCAAGACAATTTCTCGGTGGGTCAAGTCCACGCTGTTGTTGTCAGGCATTGACAGAGGGACATTTGAGGCCCATATAGTACTCGTGCTGCAGCCTTCATTGCTGCGTTAAGTCATGGAACACCGCTGAACATTATTATGAAATCAGCTGGATGGACACAGAACGCCACCTTTACGAAATTTTACAAAAAAAACAATAGTTTGCCAAAACAAGTTTGCTGAATCGGTTCTCATGACTAAAAAATTGTAGAATGGTGGAACACACCAGATTCTGTATTACTTTATTGTAAGCAAACCGTCCATAGAGACAAGAAACAGAATTGTTTTAAGTAAATACCACGCAAAGGAGTGGTTGAGTATCAATTTATTGCGACAATTAGTTTCGTAACGTCCATAGAGATGAGAAGCAAAAATGTATTTAAGTAAATACCACGCAACTGAGTGGCTGATCATTAAGTTATTACGATAAGTAGTTTCGCAAGAATGTATGAGAAGAAACATACAGCTTAAAGAGATTAAATGATCTTTGAAGTTCACGAGTCCGAATGATTTTGTTCATTTCTTGTTCTTGTCCGTCAGGTGGTCTCTAAATATCTCACGTAAGGACGAGGTGCTAGGGATAGCGAGGTAGAATTTAAAAATTAAACGAAATGAAACAATGTAATTGAAGTTTAATTATAATTCTTCCGGGTCTATACCTAGCACTGAACGACTTACGTTCCCACCCAAACTTTTGGAGATGACCATAATATTTACCCATCCCTTTGTTCAGATGGACAACTTCGCACAAACAATGTGCTGAGTATTACGGGCCTCAGGTGTGGTTATATAGTGGGGAAACCATTTGTTTAACAATGGGTTCTCTCAACTGTGAAGAAAAGTACCGGTGATAGGTGCAATCTCACGTAAGTCCTTCAGTGCTAGGTATAGACTTGGTAGAATTATAATTAAACTTCAATTACATTATATTTCATTTCCTTTAATTTTTAAATTCTTTCATAAATAAAGTTCCACTTTATTTAGACTAGAGTTGCCACAAGTCTCTTGTAACGTAAAAAACAAAATCAACTTTTCGATTCGCGACTTTCATCAAATTCTCATTCTGTGGATGAATCCATTAAAGGGGTGCTCCACTCTTTTTGGGAGATTACTTGTTTTTTTTGTATAAATTCTTTACGAAAAAAAAAAATATATTGCGACGATTAAGAACTTATTCTGAACAAGGGAAAGGTTTCTGACTCCATGAAAAGTATTATTTGTAATTTTGACAAGGTGAAAATGCTGGTAAATTGTGCTGAGGAAAGCACACCCTTCACAAATGGTTTGGTCCAAACAAACTACGCCACGCTGGAATGCAGGGCCATGGGATGTTGGCTGCGCTGGCCAAAGAGCACACTTTTCATTGAGAGAATTGCAGGTGCGTTGGTATCAGCCCGATTTATCGTATTCTATGCCTGGCTAGAACATTGTAAATAATAAAGATGAATTCGGTGACTTGTCAACTCGGTAAATTCAATCATCCGTGCGCTTTAATATTGCCCTTTCATTGCAAGCTTTAGCATTCGTAGTGCTATCAACAAATTCTTGCCAAACTCTTCCGAACCGACATTTGGGTTCGAACCTAGGAGTAAAACTAAGATAAAAGTATCATCAAACTGACCTAGATCAGGACAGAGGATGAACGTATGAGTATGGCAGGTTCAATATGAGGAAACAGAGAGTTAAACAGAGGAGCTGGGTGCTACCAACAACCTGTCTCTGTTGCAGTTCAGCGGTCAAATGAAGAGAAAGTTCACTGGCCACCGAATGTAACAGTTCCTCCTCGAGGACTCTTGTGGTTGGCTACAAGTTCTGCTACCAACCACCCACACTTGTTGCCAAGCAACCCACACATTTCTAAGAAAGTGTATGACCTAACTCTGGGGGACATAAGATTTTTAAAAAAATTGGGGGCACAAAGTTCATCCTATTATACGGAGTCCCTAAAGGGACAGGCATGACAATGGTGTTTTTTTTATTTCGTTCCCTCGAAATATTATTTTGTTCCCTCAAAATAATATTTCGTTCCCTCAAAATCATTTTGTTCCCTCGAAACATTATTTCGTTCCCTCAAAATGTTTTATTTTGCACCCGCGGAATATTATTTTGTTCCCTCGAAATATTAATACGGAAGCCCAGAGTGACCATCCGTATTTCTCAATTAACGACGACAACAATGATTTAAATAAACCATTTTGCGTAGCCTATCCAATCCTTCTCTTTATCATTCCATTGAACAGATCCCTCAGGAAATCAACCAGAGCTTTGTTGAAGTTTTTCATATTTATATAAGGAGTTTGCAAACAAAACTTTGCAAAAAGTTTCTTTAAGTCCTTAACTCGTAAATTATTTCAATTATTGCACTCTCTGAAACATGGTTAAAAGCTGATCCTCATGTTAACTATATTTTGCCTGGCTATGAACTCATTGTTACAATAGAAAGGGTACTAAAACTGGAGGTGGAATTTCTCTTTATGTTTCATCTGACTTGAATTTCATTGTTAGAGAAGACCTCAAGTTTTCGAATGAATTGCTTTTTATTGAAGTGGTTGTTCCCAAAGCTAAAAATTTTATTTCAGGGGTTGTATATAAAGCACCTTCAGTTGGTCTCGGGAAATCTGTGGATACTTCCCAAAACAAATCATAGTATTATCTTAGGAGACTTCAATATACCAACTCTTGCTTCCAATCTTTCATCTTCAAAATCAAAACGATAATAACAACATCTAATAACATCCCATTCTCTTCTCCCGTTAATATAAGCCAACTCGTATTACTAATACATCTGCTTGTACACTCATAGATGATAGTAATTTCAAACAGTTTACCTTCACCCATATCAGGTATAACAGATTTTTCAGATCACCTACCGATTTTTAATGTTCACTCGAACACTTCTGGCCCAAACAGTCGAAATTCATATTTTTCTTTTGCACGTATAGCTATTCCAACATTAATTTAATCAATTAAAAGATGACCTGTTAGCTACTGATTGGACAGAAGTTTTTATTTGCAATAATCCAAAAGATGCATTTAATACACCTATGGATTCCTTTAATTATTTGTTTGAAAAAAATCATCTCATCCAACACAATCAACGAAAGAAATTCAACTGTAGCTCAACTTTACCTTGGATCACCCACACTACTTTAATCAATTATGCGCCTATCAAATGTTTGATAAACCTTGAAACCTTAACATGCTTTAGAATAATTGTTAAAAAAACTTCTTTTACACTATAAGGGTCATGAAAAAGTATCATTTGCAAGATTACATTGATAAATAGCGGCTCGCAAAGGTCACCAGAGGTCAGATATGAAATGTCTCCATGTCTGAAAAGTTTTGTTATGGCATGTATAGTTTCATGCTTTAGACGTGTCTTTTTAAAATGAATATTTTTATAACTAGGCCTATAGGTTTCCCAGACAATTTTGGAAAATGTGAACATGAATTTGTAAAAGCAGCATTCGTTTTCGTGTGAAATAGTATAAACATTAAAATTCCCGGTTTCGATTTAACAAGTGATAATTTAATTCTCATGAAGGTGCATTCAGTTGGAAAAAATATCAGCCTACGATTTCCCGATTGTGCACTGAATTTAGTATATTGACATTTCCTTTTAGTGCGAATTCGAATTAGGCTCAAACACAATCCTGCAGCCGATTTCCCACACAGTGTTATTGAACATATAGGCCTGTGCCTGGTCAAGCATTGGAATTCATTTATGCGTTGACAAAAGTAACATATGAGTAATGTTTGATTGAATTATTTGATGGATGTTTGAATATTCAGGATGATTGAACTAAAACCAAGCGGTGTAGCCTTTTGAAACATACGGTACCAATTCACTGTTGCAATAAATCCTATATAAAAACCTATGCTGAAGACAATAGTTTCTTTTTTTCTGTTCAGCATTTGCCACACTTGTATCATATATATATCCAAGTAAACGAACCGATGAAATGAGAAAGAACTCTAAGAAATACAGAATGACATTCAAATACAATTTTTTTGTATCATATAACCAAGCAATCGACCCGATAAAATGAGAAAGAACTTTAAGAAATACAGAATGACATTCAAATACAATTAAGACAACGAACAATAAGTGTTACGTGATACGTCATGTTTCTCTTTACCTTCCCAATAACATGCCTACAAGATTATTTTGATTGATTTTATTTTAGTAAGATTTATATATATAAGTTTAACATTTTATTTGCCTTCATTTCAAATAGGTATTTGTGTGTAAGAACAAACACATTAATGATCAATTAGGCCTACAATACATTGATTAATTAAATAAATTTATCAAAGCTGTATCATGATTTGTATAGGCCTGTATACTTTATTTAAATTGAATGCAGAAAATGCGAATTTAAATTAGGCTATAACTAAAGAAAAAGAATGTTCAATTTAGCGCGTGTTGCTGCAATTTTCAGGAATAAATGGATTTAGAAGATTAGAATGTTATAGCAAATATTGTTACACTGACTTGTTTCACGTTTTGGGCTTGTAGATGCTTGAAAAACCAAGAAAACCAATCATTTTCTTGTAGTCTGGTTCCCTGACCCCACTTAAGATGAAACAAAGCAATTTATAGACTTTGGGGAATTGTAATGTCAGAGAATCAGTCTAGCAGGCCTGTACCTCTTCACAGGTGTGTGTAATCAATTGCAAAGAAAATTTGGAATCACGAAATATGAAACAGTCGGAGCAGTTTTTGGAAATAAGCCAGTTTTCTCCAACGCTGGTCGTCTGACCAGCATTGGAAAAGTACAGATTTACTTGAAAATGTCAGCACACCAGGAGCTACAACTTTACAGGATGCTTTAGACTGTCATTCCCTAACAATCCAGTAAGATCTTTCGTGATAATTTGATCATTTCGTTTTCTAATGTTTGCAGATGTTGTATCTTCTCTTTAAATGAAACGTTATGCACATTAATTTATTTGAATGATGCAAAATGAAATTGAATGCTAGTTATTGCAAAAATAAAACCAGGATATACCTCGTTCTCAAAATCAGCGCCAAATTGAATTTATGTTTTACAAATTCAAATGTACATTTTTCAATATTGTCATTGTGGTTTACTTTTTATGTGGTTTGATATTTTGTTAAGCGTTTAGAGATTTTTTTATGTAAAAGGCTGTAATTATTAAGAATACATTAGTATTATTATAATCATGCATTTATCACAAAGTGCACAATTCTGTCCCTATGCCCCTCCACTTGTAGCGAAACGTCTGTTTGTCCGATGCAAAACGGTTTTCAATCCGTTGATGCTCAATGACGAAATCACTATTCATCATTTGGTAATTTTGGGAATCCTTTATGACACTCATTTTATTGGTTCATTTCAAATGGCTAAACAAGACATTCACAACGGACAAACAAACCTTTTGCTCCGTGCCTGAAACGCGGATGGTCACTTTGAGCTTCCGTATGATTATTTTGAGGGAACGAAATAATATATATACATATATATTTACAAAAAATTGCAGAA